AAACTTGTTCCTGCAGATATGTGAGGCAGGCTTGAATGCCATCCTGGTGTGGGATATAGGTATATAGGCTGGTAACATCCATAGTGGCTAGGAGGGTGTTGCTGGGAAGGTGGTCTGTGTTTTTAAGTGTCTGTAGAAAGTCTGTAGTGTCTTGGACAAAACTTGCTCTATGGGGGATGAGTGGTTTTAGGATTGATTCAATGAAACCTGATATTTCCTCAGTTAGGGTCCCATAGTTGGATATGATAGGTCTACCAGGGTTCCCTTGTTTGTGGATTTTAGGGAGCATGGAAAATACGCAGGAAAGACCCAACAACAACTGCACACCAGAATGAACACAAACTGGAAATCTATCATAGACAGGAATACCCAATTACCTGTAGGGGCACATTTTTCAGAAGAAAACCACTCTCTCCCCAGTCTCTCAGTCCTGATCCTCAGAGGAAACTTACACAACACTTCCCAACAACGAGCATATGAACTCCACTTCATCAACCTGCTGGATGCTAAAAATCATGGACTAAATATAGACATTGGATTTATGACACATTATAACCTGCCTGACATCTGACTCCCCAGGTATCTCTCCACTATTCATCCCCCTTCTCTCCCCCCGCCCAGCCTGTCTCTCACCCATTGGCTCCTCAATCTCCATCTTCACTGACTGCCCTGACTGACTGACTGCATGCAGACCAGCCCGGCCTCTGGCTTCTTTACTCTTCATTCCATCCAGGAAGAGCACACACCAAGTGCAGAGACTTCCTCAGCCCGATGAAGGGTTTTTGAACCTGAAAACTTAATAGTTGCTTAATAGTTGCTTAATAGTTGTTTTCCAATTATTTAAATTAGTCTAATAAAAGATATCAGATTCACCCAAAGAACCTTGTCTCTCTAAACACAGATACTTCAGACAAACAGAAGGGAACTGTTATCTCTCCTGTAAACCTTCATGCAAACTTACTGCTTTACCCACATAAGGGAATTGCCATTTCAGTGTCTGTCAGTTCAGGCGCTGTGTGTCTTTGTGCAGGTGCACAACCTTACATAAGATCATGGGCTCCTGCTCTCTCCAGGAAACAATGTTAGACAGTCCTGTTCATAAACTTATCCAGCACCCTCTTGAAAGCAGTGGAGTTTCTGCACCGCTACTTCAAGACTGCTCTACAACTTCACCCTTCTGAGAGCTAGAAACCAGCCTAAGTTTATTAACAGCCAATTTATGCCCCTTTTGTTATTGTAATTAAATAGCTGTTCTCCCTCTCTGGTGCGTACTCATGGAGAGGTGTTTGTCTTTTTGGAGAGAAATAAGGGGAGTCTGGCACAAGCCACCTTTGAAAAACATACACACTACAGTTTATCTTATTTCCCATACGCAGATAGGGTGGAAATGGGCAATTTGAGCGTCACTCTTCTCTCTGCCTCAAGCCTATGTTTAGTATAAACTAATTAGGAGTGTATATTTGAACTTCAAGGTGACTAACCTTAGATTTCCACTGCTGTTTCACATCTACATAGACATCGTAGAGTTCATCAATTTCTCGCACAGCTGTTTCAGGGGTTGTGTGTTGAGGGATTATCACAAAGTCTGTGACAGCTTTGAGGCAAAGCAAAATAATAGGAAAAAAAATCACTTCATAAAGGTTAGAAGACATTTAATCAAATAGGTCAGAAAAAACTGGATGAAATGGAAAATAAGCATGTGCTCTTCTTTTAGAAAAAGGGGGTTTCTAGTTAAAAAAACAAACAAAAAAAAAACAAACCAACAAAAACTCTTTATTCAAGCAACTTTTTATGAGTATAGTTAAAATAAGTCTTAATGATACTCCCATTAAGCAGCTTTTCTTGCGACCATGCATAGAACCTTGTGTCTCTTGGGGAAGCAAATCTAACCTTTAAAACTTTGAAACAAATGTTTTTCTGTATTGTGAAATCTTATAAATGTGTAGGTTTAGGGATCATGTTAACAGTAAGTCTAACAAATGTTTTACTAAGACTTAATTCTATGTCATGCTGAGTGTTTTAGTCCTGGTCCAACAGTTTTAAAGCATGAATTCATCCCATTGCAGCTACTTGCAGACATAGAGCTAAGCTGCTGCACTAGTACAGGGATGCTCAATGTCTGGATCTGGCCTGCAGCACCATGTCATCTAGCCACAGTGGCACTGCTCCCTTGCTGCCAAGTCCATGGGAAGCCCTGGGCTCTGCACGCTGGATCCGGCACCCAATCCCAGGGGTGGCACTGGGTCCCAGAACTCAATTTTGCTGTGGGGGGTTGGGAGGAGGCAGCACTACCCCCTGGGATCCTGGTGTGGAAGTGGGTGGTGCTGGCCCTCTGGTCTGCAATCCTGGTACGTGAGGGATAGCACCAAACCCCTGGGATCCAATCCCAGCACACGAGGGGTGATGCTGGACCTCCAGGGCTTGACTGGGCTCATAGATGGCCTGGCCAGGCTCTGGGCCACTCCTCTGGCCCATGGGGCTAAAAGGTTGAGGACCACTGGTCAAGCATTCTGCTGGGTCAGGACCAGAACGCTCAGTACATAATGCTGGGGTCAGCCACCTACAGCCTGCAAACTAGATCTGACCCACCAAACAACAGCATCTGACTCAGGACATCAGCAGTGGGACAGGAAAAAATGACAAAAGGGTTGGACAAATGCTTCAGCAGTAAATTGGTGGGTGGAAGAAGCAGTGGCAGCTGCATCATGAGCGATGGCCTGACTTTTGACTGAGCTGCGTTATTTGGTCTGCCACTCCTAACAGGTTGCTTACCCCTGACTTCATGCAATCAAACCTTAAGAGTCCACCTGTTAGACTTCCTTTTGACATGACTGTGATCAGTAATGTACCACATGTTGCAAGTTTGAAGGTTTTGCCACATAGGAAAAAAACCCACTGTCTGCTGAAAACCCACTTTTAGCTGAAAAATATCCAATGTGAAGGTGAAATGGCTTCTTCCAAGGACCTATTTCTTTTATTTAACTAAATATTAACAGCACTATTGTACGCATTCTCCCATTGCTATCACCTTTCTCTAGATGATATATGATGTCAGCATGGTTTGTGGTGCTGGTCGCATGAGAAGCCATGAGCCCTACAGAAAATCAGTAACTATACTAGCTTGTATTGCTGTATCAGCAGCAGTCAAAGCACATTTGTATCATACCATCAGTGCAAACCTGGAGGCACAAGTCTAGATTGTATTTGTGAAGAAATCAATGATGAGCGACCTTTTACTTCTCCGTCTTTGATTAGGGGAACTAGAGCCAATTCTGAGAAGTCCCGAGTACTTGTTGATCTTGGTGAGAAATGAGTGCCTGGTATGTTATTGGACTGTGTTTTGCAGGTGAACTTTTTGCCATGAGAGAGGTCTTGTGACATAAGATTTCTGACACTTTCAGCTGTCCTGTGCCATACACATGGCCTAGTAGAGGGGGTGAAACTTCCTTTCCAATTTGCAACTTTTTGACAATCCTATGATTAAAATGAGTTCTAAATGTTGAGGTCTGTTTGCAATGAAGCGACTATGTCCCTGAACATCCTCCTTGCAGTTCTACAGCAAGCTACCCACACCCATGACATCCTGCATATAGTGAAACTCAGTCTTACTCACTGTTTTCTCATTTTATTTATCAAAATTAGCTCTTGGTGATGTCTTACCACTTCTTGGAGACTGGAACCGGACAACAAAGGGTTCTCTAGAAAAAGCATCTTCATCCCCAGGCTGACGGTCAGGATACTGATAGGTTTGCTTCACTGATACCAGTTTTGGTCTGCAACACAATAGGATCCATATAAAGAATATTACGTATTGCTCTTACTGACAGCTCACTCAGATTTGTTTCTGTAGTCAGTGATTTTCTTGGTAGTGGTAGAAGTTACATTATATTACAGTTGTGAAGACCTTACAAAATATCAGTATGGTAGGTAGTTTGAATAAGAGCATGCTTCAACATCAGCTGTGATTCCTAGATCAAGTAGTTAGCATTTGCTTTGCATCCAAAGATTGAAGCTTGGTAAAAATAATAGCTGCAACAAAAACTGAGGTCAATCCCAAATCTAGGCAAGGACTAATTCCATAAATGCAGAATGGGAATCTACTGTTTTGGGGTTTTTTTTGTCTGAAGCTGTTGGTTTGGATGAATGATTATCACCAAATTGGTGCATGTGGAGAAACAGAAGATGAAATCCTAACCCTGTTTAAAACCAGTGAAAAAGTTGCCATTGGCTTCAGTGGGGCCAGGAGTTTACCTGGTCTCTAAACAGCCAGGATCCAATCTAGGTAGGGCTTTGTGTGTCAAGAGCAGAAGCCTGATTGATATTCGGGCATGAAAGGGAAGCCAGTGCGGGCATGTGAGAGTTGGCATACCAGATTCCCTGGTACTGACACTGCTAAGGCAATGCACGGCTATATTCTACACTAGTTTGTAATCACCATGGTGTAGGTACAGTTTGCAAAAGGAAAGAGTAGAGGATTCACTTACCTATAGATGAAAGCATATTGTTCCTTATAGGTTTTTCTTCCTAATCGTTCACTAATCACATACTTGAATTCTTTTTCTGTTCCGTTTGAGAGACTAAAAAGAGAATGTTTAAGTGGATGTTTCTGTATATAACAATTAGGTTTCCATTTAAATTTACATGAGTGAACATGTACAAGGGTCAGAAAAAGTGACTTCTTGTGGTGGGTTACAGAGATAAGAGACTGACAATTGTGTATTGTATTGTGTGGTATATTCACTCATTGTTTTCCTTATAAAACTTTCATTCCGCTCTTTTTTTTACCTTGAGCTTGTACCAGGCTATTTGTTCTTTTTCCATATCACATTTCTATTCAGTTGTACATTATTATTTTCCAGAACTGTAAGTAATGGGTGCATCATTTTAATTTCAATATTATCTTTATCTAGCAGAGTCATTTTGTATTAATATTACTACCTTTTTCTGTGTCAGTTTATCAATTAACTTTTTCAAAGCCCACTTTAATCAGACATTTATGTCCAAGATGGTATGTGAATTTGTGTTAGATGTCTTCAGTAAGACAATTAGGGGCATGGAACACTTTCTTGTGAAGAGCGTTGGAAAAGATTGGCACCCTTTGCCTTGGAAAGGAGTAAAAAATAGTAAAAATGTATAAAATAATGCAGGTGGTAGAGAAAGTAAGTTGGAAGCCTTTTATTATCTCCCTGTCTCATAGTTTCTGGGTTTTTGGCTGCAGCCGTGTTGATCTAAGGACATAGGCAGGCAAGGTTCTTTGAGTAGATGTGATCTCTTTTATTACCCAGTTGGTCTAATAAAAGATATCACATCTACTCAAA